TTGTTTTTGGGGGCCCAAACCCTGGTGGGGGGCCGGGGCGCCCCCGGGGGGGGGGGGGGGGGGTACGGACCCCCAAACATGGTCAGGGTTGATCTGGCATGTGGTGGTGGGGGGCCACCGTGCAGCGTCCGCATCCCAGTGAACGCGTGAGGATACAGACCCCTTTCAAAACTGCTGTGCTTATATGAGGAAGCGACTAAATTGTTGACTATAAGAGTCCGCCCTCTGTAGGACATATTTGGTAGCAACCACTTCCATTTATCCAAGCGCCCTTTGACTTTTTCCAACACCCCCTCCCAATTTTTCTGTAAAACACCATCATCTCCCAAATACTCCTAAATATTTTAAGCCTCCCCTGCCCCAACACAACCCATCAGGAAGACAAGGTGTCACATTTGACCATTGACCTAACAATAAAGCATTACTTTTTTGCCAATTAGCCTTAGCAGAAGACAGTATTCTAAAATCTTTGATTAAGTTAAGCAAAGACTGCACATCACTTTGTTTACTGATCAACACCACAATATCATCAGCATAAGCTGACAAACGAACATTATTATTACTACAATTTGGTAAACACAAGCCACATATATTTATTCTTATTTGTTGAAGTCTGACACCCCTAAGAACCCGAAAAGAAGCACATAAGCCACCATAAATTTCAGTGCATTCTCAACATCACAATAGAGTACTCTGATCATACCTTCACATTTTTTACAGAAACCAAAAGCGGCTAAAGTGTTCGACAAATAAGAATGCTCAACTTGATCGAAAGCATTCTCTTGATCCAGAGATAACAAGCCACAATCTAAATTTAATAATTTAGAAACATTAAAAACTCCTTTGACAAGCGCAGTCTGCTCTGATTGACCAGCTGACCCAGTGCATTGTGATTGGCCGAACACTGCAAGCACGCGTCGGAAATGTAAGGCTCCTTACCATAATCGCGAGCGTCAACTTTCAAAGTAAATATCAAGACAGTTAATAATGTTGTTAGTTTTACCATCAGTTCAAGCCCGAAAGGGCAACAGAGTCGCGTGACAGACACAGTGATGGTGCAGTACACAAGCCGCGGTTAAGACAGCTGATGTGCTATGATTTCTGACAGGCTGTTCACTGCTGTGATGTGACCCTGTTCCCCTCACACACACACACACACACACACACACTGCATTACTCTGCGCAGCGCAAAACTCCGCATTTGAACAGTCAATAACAAATACTTAAACAAAACATACGTACAGTCGCTGATTCAGAAGCGCCAGATTGTCATAGCAAAGTCGGAATTTACACTTTTTTTTAGAAATAGCCTTTGTGCTCTTCTAGGTTCAAAAAACTGTCGTCCATAAAATGCGTTGCACAAATTTGAACATCTGGGTTGTGCTGTTCTGTTGTAAATAAATCTTAACCAATGATCAATGATTCCTAATTGCATCTACTTCCAGAAGGCAAATAAAGTGCTTTTGCTTTCGCAAAGAAACACAGCGTCTCCTTGACATGGCTGCATCAACACGACTGCTGCTCCTGAAACCACGCCTTCTTTCTTTGCATGCACATTTGGTCAGCATTATGCTAATATTTCACCATAGTGACCTAGATATGTGGGGGCGTGTTAGACCGAGCCGTTTTAGGTAGGTGTGGCTGACTCTTAACTTTTATAAAGAATATCTCTTTGGATTTGAGACTTTAGTCTTTGCAACTTTACAGATCTGCTTTATGCACCAAGAGCTTGTAACACTCCAAAGAAAAAGGAAAACTTGAAATCGCATCAAATGACCCCTTTAATTGAGCTTAGAATAAAATTACAATGCACCATACTGTGATCTGAAAAGCTTACTCCGCTGTGCGTGATGCAGAGACCGCGACCATAACTTAGACCGAAATTATATGCTGTCCTGTAAATAAGATAACATAAGGCTATTTAGTTTGCTTAATAAAATAACAAGGTATAGACCTGTTCTATAGGAAAGGTAACTTTAAATGACATCTGTTGTGATCTGGCGCTATAGAGAAAATATAATTAAATAAAATTCACTTGACCTTCAAGGGGGGCGGGGGCGGGCTGCCCCCCTAATATAATGGCAGGGGAAACACTGCAAACTGTTGTGATTGATCTGTTTTCTCTCTCTCAAAAACGCAAATTTAACCCAGTGCAACTTATTTTCCAGAAAATATGGTACTTGTGGCTTTGATATTAATACTTTGTGCATGTGAAATTACTCACTTCTGCCTCTTTGCCATTTGTGCTCTAACATGAGCCTCCACTTTAGTGGGGTCCTGCACAGCTTCCGTCCCCAAGACCCTCATCAGATTAGAGATCCGCACTGCACACAAACAGGAACATAATAATAAGATAAATAAAGCACAAAGCTGTAGTGAAGCTGCTACATCAAAAAAAAAAAAAAAAATTAATAAAAAAAAAATAATAAATAAATAAATATATATATATATATATATATACGTGTGTGTGTTATTTTAAGTTATGATGTGAAAAATCTTTAACTGAAAAACAACTGTAATAAAGAATGTAGGTGTGCCCAAACCTTTGACTGGTAGGTTAACATTAAATACATTTTAAACCTCCTTTGTGTGACTGGTGTCTAACTGGTAACGTACCTTTAGGTTCAGGTGGAGGCATAAGCCCCAATCGGACCTTTTCCTGTAACTCTTTCTGGGCTTCTCTGCGTGTTTGTCTCCTTAGCTTCTTCTGTTCCTTCTTGGTCAAATACACACCCAGAGTCACTGGCTTGTCTATATCCACTGAGAAAGAGAAGCAAAAAGAGAGAGACAGTAATAAAAACAGAAAATGTTAGTTAAAAAAAATTCAGATTAATGTGTCTTTTGAAATTTAACCAGTTTCTGTTTGTAGAAGGTTTTGATGTGTCCATGTATGTATCAATACCTGGTGGGGCCATCTGAATTGGGTGTTCAACTAGGTTGGTGACTCCATGCATCTCCACCTCATCAAAATTTGTATGTGCAAATCTGAGAAAAAGAACAGAAAAATGTGATAAGAAAACTTTCACTAAATTCTGTTATTAATTATCAAAAGGAACAACATGAATGTCAGATTGTATGGAAAATGGCACTTTGAATTCTTTACAACTGTTCCACAGGAAGAAAGTCATATGGTTTTGGAAAGACATGATGGCAAGTAAATGACATTTACAGTTGGCTCAACCATTTCATTTAAAACCATTTATTTTTAATGCAATTTACATGATATATAATTGTCTATTGACGTCTAAAAGCTGAAAGATCTGAAAGCTGTTGGCTCTTACAGTTCTATTTGGGAAGGCAGAATGAAGGAGTCCCACCACTCTATGTGAGGAATCTCCCCCTCTCCCAACTCCTTCTTGGGGGCAATAAGAGCCAGTTTAGTGGAGGCCTGTATGCCTGTCTTTTTGGCAGCCTGAGAAATCTCCATCTGTAGTTTCTCCAACTGAGCCTGAAAAAAGGAGATAATATTGTTTCTCACTTGTTATTGCGCAAAGCCATTTTAATGTATAGTTTTTAGAGTCAAAAATAAAAAGCCATGCTGTTATCTACCTTTGTGCGTATGCGCTGGGCGATCTTCTCAAAGCGTCCCTGTTCATGGAATCTAAACCCTCTCTTGGCTCTCTGAGCAGGAATGATAGCCACACGTGGGTCAAAGTAAGACGTGGATTCCAGGTCATCACTGGGCTTTTCCTTTAACTGCTGCCGAAACTGTTCCCTCTTCACTGCTCTGATGTTGGCTAGAGAGAAAAACAAACAAACATTAGTAACAACGAACAGTGAGAGATTCATATTTCTGTGGCAGCACATGGTACCTTTTAGAGTGGGCATACGATGTGTGAGTTCAACTTCTTTCCCACTGGCATCAACAGTTCGTCCAAGCTCATCCAAAATGAGGGGTGTTGGCTTTGTGACCTCGCGTGGTTCCACTTTACTGTAAGAAAATGATAAAACTTCACAAACTATTTTTTAGCAATAAATTATTTCTAAACATTAAAACCTATTGATATGTAATAAAAATGTTGAAAACATGTTTGTTTCCAATATTCTTCTCTAGAGCTGCCGAAAATGTCTACATGCCCTTTCTAAGGTTAATTTTAGGTGTATACAACACTCACGGTGGTGCTATGCCCATGGCATGCAGGTTAGCCAGGGCTACCAGGTTATGTGGCCCTGTGTTTCCCAAAGCACCCAGAATTCCGGGTTTCATAGCCAGTGTGGACTGGATCTTGGCCTGCAGCTCAGCTGCCTTGCGGGCTTTCTCTATAGCATCATTCATGAAGTTAGCAGCCTGGGAGGGAGCGATGGACTGGGTCG